GTACATTTCTCTTCCTCCTAAAATCAATTATGAGTTCTTTAGTTTTTTTTTTGTTAAGTGTGAGATGATTTTCTTTACACTGTTTAGCTCATGTTACTGCAGTAGATAGTTTAATCTGTCTTTAAAATGGAAGTATGTCACATATACCATATTTTTCACTTTATAAGACAACCCAAAGTATAAGACAACCCCCCTTTTCTAACCCCAAATTAGCAAAAGGCAGGGATCAAAGGGCTCCCTTTTTGCTAAGCCCCGTGCCTTGGCAAAAGGCAAGGAAAGCGGCTGTCAAAGTGATTGCCACTTTTCCTTTCCTTTTGAAAAGGCATGGAGTTTAGCAAAAAGGAAGGGGAGTTTAGCAAAAAGGAAGGGAGCGATGCCTCCCCTTCCTTTTTGCTAAAGCCCCGCACTGTCTGTGCTGTGCAAACAAACTTATTATATTTCAGTGAGTTGCAGTTTATCTTGTCAAGAACCTTTATTGGCCTCTGAAAAGAAACATATAACACAATAGGCAACAGTCCTTGCCTAGATGAGAAGTGTATGCCCAGTTAGAAAGGAAACAAGGAGGACGAGTGGCATAAATACTGATGAAACATAGCAAAACGAACATAATTCATTTGAAAGGACAGCTAGACATCAGCAGCAAATCTTGGCAAACCTGGGAAGTTGTTGATTACATCCCATGAGGGCAGAACAAGACGTTTGTTGGAAATTGTGAACAAGTTGCTGTATTAATAGATTTATATATTTGGCCGTCTGCATGGTATAGATTTTATTCTCTCCTAGCAGGTGAGTGTACAGAATTACCTCCTCTCATCGACAAGGTAAACTAGCAAGAATTTGCTCCAAATTAGAAGCATGGATATCATTGTATACTGTACAGTAAAGACACATATGTGCCGGGGACTCAAGGGCTCCAGAATTACAAGGGCAGAGCCGTGTTTCCATTGGTTGGGAGTTAAATCTATCATATAGAACATTAGATGGAAGTATAGTGCATCTTGCAAGAGTGAAGGCATGCTGTTCATGTGGGCTCTTTATAATGTGTAGATAACTGGTCAATTTGTCTATGTGTAGAGTGAGTTGTAAATTTAAAAGTGAACAAACTTTACAGGCTGCCCCCAAAAGGTCTTGCCTTTCGGTGTCCAAAAGCCTAACTTTTAGCAGTCTATACAACTGCATAAATTGATAGAGCACTGAAATGGTCTAGTGAAATGCCCAGAGTTGAACCTTTTGAATGAACAGTTTTAGGTAGGGAGAATGGAAGGAGTCAGACAGGATGCCCCTAATTAAGGGGTATTTGTCTAGCTGGAAACAGATTCTCAGGCAATACTTAAATTGTCTCAACCACACGGGCCATTTTGTTACAGAAAAAATAAATGATGGATTTTGCAATTAACCGTCTTAGACCTATCTTAGTACATGACAGGAGTACCATATCATCCGCATATAGAAGAATAGGGACATGGAGTCTTTCTACCGAAGAGTTAAAGGTGTCGAGCCAGATTGGGGTCCCATATAAGAGTTGGGAGACAGCCTTAGATTTGAAGACTCTTAGGACGGCAGGGATGTTTGTGTTGCCCCATGCATAAAAAAAATGAAGTATTGCTTTCATAGACAGCCTTACCGCTTTAATAATGATGTAGCGCTGTCTGGCCCATGAGTTGTGATAGTGGAAGTTTAGTCCTAAATACAGTGGTGCCCTGCATAGCGACTATGCGGCTTTCAGATCTAGGAAGGCAGCATGCAGTCTTAGTGTGTGCCGCCTGCTTGGCTATAAGATGGGTTAGTGCCAAGCAGTGGTCCATAGTGGACTTGTCTGCCTGAAAGCTTGCTCACTCAGGGCCTAATATGTTATTGTCATTTATCCAGGCAGTGAGCTGATTCAATAAGTGATTAGCATAGACCTTGCCCACTACTGACAGCAGACTAATTGGTCTGTAATTGTCCGGTAGTTTCCTGTCGCCCATTTTGTATTTAGATAAAATTATGGACTGGTTCCAGGTCTTGGGTATCATCCCAGACCTATCCACAGTTGTGAAGAGCTTAGCCAAAATTGGTATCCACCAACCTACATTTGCTTTGAATAGATCTGGGGGCAACAGGTTGGGGCCAGGAGCCTTCCCAATTTCAATCTACCTAATAACTGTTTGATCTCTGTGGTAGAAACAGGGCCAGTTGGGTATTCCCTTGAAGTTGTTCTTATCAAACAGGGGGAAGTTCTTGCAGTCATCGAAGTAGAGTGACAAAAAAATACTGTTTCCATGTAAATGATGGAATTGAGGGATTGGATGAGTTTTTGACTGAAAAGCCCCTTACTTCCCAAAGACAAGTTTAGCTTGTCTTTTGGCAGGATACTGAATTAGTGCTCTGTGGTTATGTTCCTCTATCATTGCTTTAAACAAATGTTAGGATGAGGATTGAGTAAATGTTGTAATAAGTTCTGTGTAGTCTATTGGTTTCCAAATCATTTATTTAGTATAGGTACTATCTGATAGGAAGTTCAGTTACTTTAATTTCACTGGAGATTAATATAACAGGCTAAATCTAATGTTTTTCTGGCAAAACTTTCCAGCCCTCCTCAACTACCTGAAAACCATTAGGCAGTCTGCAGAGCCACAGCGCAAAAGAGACATCCACCACTTCTCATTCCACAAATTTCTGCCATTCTCCCAGTGGAGGTCTATCAGTGGATCCTCGTGCCTTATGTTCATTTTCTAAGCTGCTGTATTCAGGATACCTGGATCATGGCTTTACTAATTCCATATATTCAAGAAGGTGTTTGGGTGGCATAATATAATAATCTTAAACTGCAGAGCTGGAAGAGACCCTATGAATCCAGCCCTTCTCAAGGAGGCACAGTGGGGAACTACTGACCTCTAGCTCAGGGGTGGGCAATTAATTTCTATAGGGGGGGCAACATGAAAAATCTGAACTGTGTTCGGGGGCCAAACCAACTTTACTTAAAAATAAAATGAAACAGTGATGCTATGATTGTTTTTATTTTAAACTTGTTAATCTTCACAAATACTAAAGAGGTTTTTGCAGTATGTTAAAGATAAGCAACTGATCAACTTTAGACAAAAAGCTGTAAATGGTTTTGATGTTCAAAACTGTCCACGGGCTGGACAGGAGCGGCTCGCGGGCCGTATGTGGCCCTCAGGCCATACTTTGCCCAGGTCTGCTCTAGCTCCAAAGCCAGATAACTGAACCACTGAGCTACGTACCCAGCAGTAAGCACACTACGTGATCTCTCAAATTAGTTACCAAAGTAGGAAGATATTTCCAGTATCAAAGATGACAAAGGAGAAAAACTATTTGAGGAAAAAAACCCTCCAGAAAAATCTTCAAGATGTGCCTGAGTCGACGTAAAATATAATAGGTGTTTGAATCTTGAATATTATGTTCAAAAAGAACTCGGTATACATGTAAGAACTACTACACCATTGTGTGGTTTTTTTGATGTTTCTTCATTATGGTAAATAAACTGTTTTATATCTGACCTATTTGACAGGGGTGACATTGATGAAGAAATCTGAACATAGGACATTGGCAAAAATTATACTTTTTAATGGTACCTACAAAGCCAGCATAATTGTTTAAACGCAAACAACTGATCTTTATTCTCAATTAGAATTTATCAGAATTCAGAGACAGAGTGTGGGCACGATTCAAAGTCCTTTGTTTCCATTTTCTTCTCTATGGAATGGAATATTTTATGTAGCTGTATTTGATTTCTTGTCACAGAAGAGAAACAGATCTGTGATTTTTTAATTTATTGAGCTTCTCCATAAGTCATTCGTTCTGAATATAAACTCAGTTTTTAAAGTAATATATAAACACTTAAATCTATTTTTCTTACTGTACTAATCCATGTAAACTTAGTTGCTTTTTATTTTATTCATTGCAGTAAGCTAATTAGTCTTTTAATTAATAAGCTTGTTTGAGTATGCATGAAAGCATCTTAATAAGCAATTGAAAAGGTACTAATAATTTACTAAAAAGTGGAAATGAGGTGCTATCTTTGAATTGTTTTGGTTAATTAAAAGTGACTGACGAGAACATGAGCTAAAATCCTGTTGGCCGAAATTTACATCGCTGAGCTTGGATGATGCCATTGTCTGGCAATGAAAATATTCAATTCATCTATCTTTCTATTCAGGCTCTGAGGCTCTCTAAGGATTTCTTTTGCCCTTGGAAAGCTGTTGGAGGCTGTAGGATGGTTTGGGGAAAGCCTTTAATACTGGAAAAATGCTGCTGGATTGTCATTGGCTGTCCTCATCTGGCACTGGACTCCTGGCAATAATTTTCCAATATTAAAGACTTCCTACCTCTGTTCTGAGGCTTCTGTAGACCAAAAGGGTTTCCCAGGGAGCCTCTGAACCTGAAGGGACAGGCTTTGAATTTTTTAATTTAATTACATTAAATGTTTCCATTGCCAAATGATGGCATTCTCTGAATTATGGGGGGCAAATTTATCCAAAAGGATTTCAGCCATTGTGTTCTTATTCTATTGTTGATATTTTTCATTTTTCATCTTCTAGAATGTATCAAAACAAGTGACATCCAGCATGAATAGCAATGAAAGTGAACCATCTTCGACACAGGTAAGTAGGAACTGCACCATTTTGTAGCAGTTGGTTATACCTTTTGGAAGTAATGTTTTGCTCTTAGAGCAAAACAAAAAATTGTTTTGAAGTTTGAGTCCCATAAGTGTGTGAGGCTTGAGGCTGCTCTCTAATTTGGTCACAGAGTCTATTTTAATCTTTTGAAATGTTTAGCATATCTCTCACATTATTCAGGTCAGTAGAAATTATATTGTTTCATATTTCTGCACATCAAAGTGCAGATAATTGTAAAGAAATATAACCTTATATGTACAGTAATGGAACATTTGCATTTCTGAACTTCTTACTGGTTTATTGTCTTTCAGAAATAAACTACGTAGTATTGTGGAATATTTTCCTCTTGAGCTGGTATATTTTAATGTAGAGGAAAATCTGACATACCTACTTGATTATTATATTATATCTTTACAGACTAGCGATGCTCCATCTTTTGCACAGAAGTTGCAACTTCGGGTACCATCGATGGAATCATTGTTTCGAAGTCCTTTAAAAGAATCTCTATTTCGCTCCTCTTCAAAAGAGTCTTTAGTGCGTACGTCTTCAAGAGATTCACTGAATAAACTGGACTTTGATGCCCCTGTCTCGATACTTGATCCGCCTTCTGATATTGAAAGTGAAGCAGAAGAATTGCCTGGAAATGTGGACAGCCTCTCCAAGGAGCAACTGTTGCAACGATTACGTAGAATGGAAAGAAGTTTAGGCACCTATAGGGGAAAATATTCGGAGGTAAGAAAATATTACAATTTTGTCATGAATACTATAAGAATCAGAAGAATTCACTGAAGAAGAAATAGTCATTTTTGTGTATCATTTTCAGTGGAACAAATGATTGGTTATGGGGTGCTTTTATATAGCAACTCTGCTTGCCAAATTAATCTTTGTACTTTATGTAAGTAAGGTTGTTTGAAAATGCTAGGCATTGTTTTTCTACAGTTGTATGGAATCAAATTTAAAACAGCATTCCTCATGGTGCTCAGAATATAGCACTATAATCAGAGTCCGTGTTTGTATCAAGAATATTTCATAATGTTTACTCATAACTAAGTCCCATCTGGTAAAAGTCCCTGTAGAATTAATTATGTGCTTTGTTTTTGTGACTTCTATCCATTTTCTAGGTTTTTTTCTAATTACCAATTTCTTTAATTTTTAAAAATTCCTTAGTTAAATATTATTTTATGGTAAGGAAAAAGAAGCCAGTAAATACCACTCCTGTCTTCATGAAGGGCAAGAACTAACATCCATAGTAATATTAGTTATTTACCAGTAATTCCAGACATGCTGAGCAAGAGTCTGTGAAGGGAGATAAGCTCCTGAAAGGGACCCCACTGGTAAAAACTCTGGTTTTTGTAATATATATGCAATATAGTACATTGAAAATTGGGAGGTCCATGAAAATGTATTCTAAATGTGCATTAGCCTATATTACCACAACATTTTCTGTTACTTTGCTCTTTGTAGACTAGGGCCAGAATTCAGTTGTTGATTTACACTTGTGTAAGTCATGATGGCAAATTGCAATTATTTAGGGAGGAAAGTATGGATACTGATTGTGTAGATTGTGCACACTGATTGTGTCCTGCTGTAAATGAAAATGAGATATTGGGGTTCTGTATAATTCTGAGTGATGCTAAGTTTCCAGTGTGATTTGTCACCAAAATTCAAGGTCAATTGTGAGGTTTAGTGACTTCATTTACATCTTGATGGGACACATTTGCCCCTTGCACCCATTGAAGTTGCCTGCTCTGTAAAAATGTTGTAGGAATATATCTGATTCCTCTGAAGCTGAAGGGCAGTGACTGAAATGCTCCATGCTGCTGCACAAAGATGTTTAGTAAGCTTGTGTGCCTCCATGCATCCTGGAAACAACACTACTGAACACAGAACAGAGCGCAGTACATGTGTTAATTAAGGTGAAGCAAGAGGAGGGGTTCTTTGAGCCTGGGAAGAAGGGCTTCACTAACTGTTTAATGAGAGAAACAGAACAGTCATATTAGTGTTATTTACAGTGTTAGGTTGCATGAGGGATTGTAGAAATTCCTCAACATAATCTGCCTCTGGGTTCCCAGGTACTTGTTCATATTTGCTTTGTAATGGCCAAAATCCTGTTTTTAGCATAGTAAATCACACTAAGTAGGTGCTTTACTGAATCAGCTCCTCTGTATGTTCTATTAATTAAAATAAGCCTACTCTGTGACTCATCATTCTAAAGTGGGTCACAGGTATAGGCCCATTTGAATCACTAGAACTTAGGAAGGAGTTGACTTACCAAATTCCCTTTCAGTGGGCCTACTCTAATGTGGTTTACTATGCTAAACAACAGGATTTTGGCTACTGTTATCCATATCACTAGTGTTAAATAAATCCATTGCCTTTGTTACCCATTGCTAAATGTGTTCAAACAGATTTGTTAAAAGGAATGGATGGATATATTCATTGCACTGATAATTTATGAATTCTACCTTCAGTTGGTTAACTAGGATGAGATTGTATTACACCTATCATTTCTGGACTTCTTTCGAAATTTTCATTTTGAAGTGTGTATTATTCATTACATTCAAAACATTATACAGTAGTACCATCTAATGTAGTGAATTCTGCTATGGATGACAGGATAGAATTTCATAGGGGATGAGAAACAAACTACTATGACTGGATTGAAGTGGGATACGTTTTGCAGAGTTTGTATTGATTTAACTGACAGTTGCATTGTGTACTTTCCAGCTAGTTACCGCTTTTCAAGCTGTGCAAAGAGAAAAGAAGAAATTACAGGTAATTTTTTTAAGGTACTGTGGTGCCTTAACTTACAAATGTCTTGACCTATGAAGATTTTGACTTACAAACAGTTCCGTTCGCAAAATTTTGCTTTGACCTATGAACAAAAAGGCAGGGGAAAAGGCTGGGATATTCAAACCATTGGTGGCAAAGAGGTTGCTTCTTTGTAGCTCTTTTGCACCAACGGTTTGGGAGAGGGATGCGGTGGGGGTGGCCCAGCGTCGGGAGGCTTGGGCCTGGCTGGGAGGCCATTTGAAATTCCTGGGCTCCTGCCTCCCACCCCAGGCTCCAGCTGCCACTGCCGGGCCTGACCCAGGCTCCAGCCGCCACTGCCCGGCCAGGATGGGTCCCAGCTGTGCTCTGCTTCCCGGAGCCCAGCCGGGAAGAGAGCAGTGCGGACAGACCCTGCGCCAGGAGGCAGGAGCCCAGGAAATTCAAATGGCCTCCCAGCCGGGCTCCTGCCTCCTGGTGCGGGGTCTGTCCGCACTGCTCGCTTCCTGGCCGGTGGAGCCCAGGCCGGGCAGTGGTAGCTGGAGCCTGGGCTGGGCAGCAGTGGCTGGAGGTCGGGCAGTTGCGGAGGTTGCTGCAGTGGTGGAAGCCCGGGAGGCTTCGGACTGGTAAGGTCCTTTTCCTTTTTAAAAAGTGTTCTGGGCAGGTTTTGGAGGGTGGGTTTGGACTGGGGAGTTCTGTTTTTGTGCTGTGTTGTTTTGTTTTTTGATTTGTGTGTGTGTGTTTTGTTTGGTTTTTTGCAGTCCCAGTGTGGGACTTGTTCTGTTTATTTTTATTTTTATTTTGATATTTTTTTTGAAATGCTGGAACAGATTAATCCCGTTCCCATGCATTTCAATGGGAAATGGTGCTTTAACGTCATAACATTTTGACTTACGTTACCACTCCGTTAAATTAAGTTCGTAAGTCAAGGCACCACTGTATTACCTAAATATTTTTCATAGTCTTAAAATCCTTAGAGAAAATGTACACAATGCACTCTTAATGTTTATTTGAACCCTGGGTAGAGTAAAACATTTTGTGATTAGGATGTGATCCACAAATGTATATCATTGGCTTAAGCAAGCCTTTCCTTAGACACACCTGCAGACAGGCTCTACCAAAGATACCTGAACACCAGGTGTCCTCCACTCCACAGAATGCAGAACAGTCTTCCATTTGGCAGAACAGTTGGAAAATCTCCTGATCACAGACCAAGCCATGCTGATAGGCATAGCTGAAAAAATGGAGAAATCAGAAATGAAAATATACTGTATGTGCTATTTGAAGCAAATTTGTTTGTAGCAAGTGATTATCTTACATTCGGTTGACGTAAGACCTATTACGGAGAAAATTGCTGGTGCAACATAGAAATACGCTTCCTCAAGTTCTTTGTAGTTTAAGCCTTACAGGTACCTGCTACCTCAGCATTCTACAACCTTTTCCAGTCTGCGGACCGGCTGGGGAAGGTGGGGCATCCCCACGGTTGTGTGCATACGCAAACAAGTGCACCTGCAGGGTGCCATACTGCCATTTGTGTATGTGCACAGGCGCGCGTGGGCCTGCACAAGCTCACACCGCCATTTGCACATCTGCACAAGTGCCCGTGTGCATGCACAAATGGTAGCGTGCGCTCATGCGGGCCCGCAAGTGCCCTTGCGCACCCGTGAATGCCTGTGCGCATGCACAAATGGCAGTGCCATGCTCGTGTGGGCATGCCAGAGCGCGCACACAGGCACAAACAGGCAACATGGGGGGTGAGTCCGCGCGGAGGGGCGGCAGGAGGTCTCTCTTGGCCCGGTCTGATCCACGCCATGGACTGGCATGGGCCGCGGACCGGGGGTTGGGGACCGCTGTGCGACCTGATTTGAAGTTTAAGGTTTTAAATTTTTCTGAAGAAAGACTTCTTGATCTTTAGCTTGATAATGACTTGGTTTTTATAGTCATGTTATTAATGTTTAGAATGTTATCATCATCATTTTGTTTCAGGGAATACTGAATCAGAGTCAAGATAAAGCACTTCGGAGAATTGGTGAACTGCGAGAGGTAATACCTAACTCCAGTTTTATGTATAATGTTCACCAGAATTTGAGTTTATATAGTCTGTATGTGTGTACTATTATTTTAATGACAGTTTCTAGTAAGGTAAAAAAATATTCCTATGGGTTCTCTGAAATTATTTATTCACTTACATATTCTGGATCAGCAGTTGTTCCCCTGGTTCATTTTGTTAATTGAGACATTGCATCTGTATTTAACACTAGAAACTATCTTCCTTGCATTGTCCCACAGTTTTACAAAAGGTAAATACCTTATTTGCTTAGTAATACAGCTGACTGAAATGTATCATATTTTCTGTTACAATGTCTTGAAAAGTGTAGAAGAAACACATTCAGTGTACTTTTCAAAGACAAGTCCAAAGGAAGAGCTTCTTTTAAAGGAATTCATTTTATCAGACAATATAATGTGGAAAACTGAACCCAAAATCAGGAAAATGTGCATAAGACAAATTGGGTACACAGTATGGAGTAAGGTTAGTTTGAGAGTGTAGTTTAAACATACTCTTCATTATCATAAGGTAAATAATGTATAGCCAGAATATTGAACAAATGTGAAGGGGAAGGGTAATCATGCAAAGAGTTAGCCTGTTTGGCAAACTGACTGCATTTGACTGATTGTGTGCTAGTTGTGATATCTGGCATGAAACCAGTCACACAACCAATCATACAAATGAGTGCCTGCTGAGAGGGAACCACTTGTATGATTGCCCTTACATGTATTTTCCGCCCAAAATATTCTGATCATTAAATAAAAAATGGCAGTACAATGCTCTTGACTACAGTTAATATTTTTTTGAAATGCAAATAATCTGCTTAGTGTCTTTAAAGAGAAGGTCTCAATGTAAAAGATTACATCCAGTGTTGTATATTTGAAAGTTAGTTCATAGATCTTTTTAGTTCCTTTCTTCCCATGCTGCCCCAATATGTTTCAGGTTATTATGACAGTGATATTATGTGGAACTGTTCTTGGCTCCTGTTGCCTTCGGTATCTCCCAAAGCCTCTGTAGCGATGGGGGCACTTTCAGAATAATTTGAAGTGTCACTTACCAGATGGTGTTAAGAAAAGACAATTGCCTGAAATTGGGAAGAGAGATTTTCAGGCAGCTATGCCTTGAAAGACACATTTCAGAGTGTTCTGTAAGTACCTCCCTCCTCAGTTCTCTGGAATGACTTTTAAGACATAGAGAACTGTAAAGGAGATAGGGTGGTGAAGGTGTTCATTTTCCAGTCATTACAGAAGAGAATCTAAAATATGTCTTCCTCATCACTAATATACCTACATCCACCTGATTGGCTGGTCAGTTCTGCCTATGGAAGCGAGTAGGAGGGACAACCCATCTGTTGAGGATGTCCTCCTGTGCTACAGGAAAAAAGAATACTGTACTACAATGTTAGTATTAATGCATGTTCCTAGCTATCTGGTTGATTTTTAAAACGTAACTTTCCCCACTTGCAATTGGAATGACATATTTTATATGCAAACTGCTGCAGGTGATGTCACTGGATTCTGCATTCTGTTCTGTTGTATATAAACAGATTTTTAGGCAAGGTGGTGAGAAACTGTTTGCCAACCAAGTGTGGGTTCATTTTAGTTAGGTTGGGAAGAGTTAAGAACAAGGTTGAAGCTTAATTCAGAACAGAAAATACAATAACTAGACTCCTGTTAGTGTTTGCATAAGGTTTATATACCGTATTTTTCCGTGTATAAAACAACACTTTTTCCTAAAATAATTAGAGGGAAAATTGAGCGTCATTTTATACATGGAAGGAAGCAGTTGTGCACACGTTTGGGCACCTCTTGCTGCCGCTGCTGCTGCCCAGTTGCCTCTTCCACAGCTCACAGCTGGTGGTCCCGAGGCAGCAGGAGGCGGAGGCGGAGGCGAAGGAGCATTCACATGTGCTCAGGTGCCTCTTGCTGCTGCCTTCCCCACCCGCCCGATTATCTCCTCCAGTGCGACTGCTGACTGTCGGTGCTCACCTGCAGCTCATGTTGCCCGCCTTGTCCCCTCCGGTGGTGGAGGCAGGCGGAGGCGGAGGCAAACAAGCATTCGCGTGCGCGCTTGGGCGTCTCTTCCTGCTGCCACTGCCAGATCACCTCCTCCCACAATCTCCTTAGGGTAGGGGACAAGGCAGCGAAGAGAGCTGGAGGTGAGCCCCGGCAGTCGGCAGTCGCACTGGAGGAGGTAGTCGGGCGGGCAGCAGAGACAGCAGCAGCAGGAGATGGAGGTGGAGGAGCAGTTGCCCATTAACTGTTCCTCTGCCTCCATCAAGGGTCAAAACTAGGGCATTGTTTTATACATTGGAGGGTCGTATACACGGTAAAATATGGTAACTTGCCATGGCCAATTGACTGATAAAGTGCCAAGGCAGAACTCAGTTTCATGCTTAGTCACATGCTTGTTTGTGAACCCCAGGATATAGCTGAATACCTCAATTAGCTGCAACAAGTTACACAAACCTACTGTGTTTCCTCGAAAATAAGACAGGGTCTTTTTGCTTCAAAAATGCATCAGGGCTTATTTTCATCAGATGTTTTATTTTACAGTCATGTCATTTTCTTCTGGTTGGTGCACAATGGTGGAGGTGGGGGTTTCACTTAACTGGGGCTTATTTTGGGGGTAGGGCTTTTATTACAAGCATTCTGAAAAATCATACTAGGGCTTATTTTTAGGTTAGGTCTTATTTTGGGGGAAACAGGGTAACATCAGCAGAATTCCAGCCAATTTGCTTTCTATAATCCTTTCCATGTAGTAGAGAATACTAGCCCCTAGCCCCATAGTGCACCACCTTTTTTTAAAATAATCTGAACTAATATTTCATTAATTTCAAATAATTTCACATTCAAGAACAGTTTACATTAGTCCACCAGCTGCTCCTGTTTCTTGAGAGGTCTGATTTGGCTATGGTGACATATGTCTTAGTTACATCTCGGCTGTATTGCTGTAACACGCTCTATGTGGGGCTTCCTCTGGAAAATGTTCAAGAATTTCAGAGGGTCCAAAATGCCGCCGTCAGATTGTTAACTGGGACTGGTTACAGGGAACATATAACTCCCTTGTTATAGCAGCTTCACTGACTGCCAATCTTTTTCTGGCCACAATTCAGAATGCTGGGTTTAATCTATAAAATGCTAGATGACTTGGGTTCAAGCCATCCAAAAGACCACATCTCCCTCTATGAGCCTGCCTGGACATTACAATCATCAAGGAAGGCCTTTCTCTCAGTCCCACCACCCTCACAAGCATGCTTGGTGGGGACGTAAGAGAGGGCCTTCTCTGTTGCCACTCCCAGGCTCTGGAATGACCTCTCATGGGAAGCCAGACTGACCCTCTCTTTGTTGTCATTCCACAAGCAGGCAAAGACCTTTCTCTTCATGCAGGTTTTTCCTTAGTGACTGGCTATCTGAAAGGATTTTTTCCAGAGTGGATTGTTGTGCTCTGTTGCTATTCAGTGTGTTTTTAACATTCATTTTATTTATTGTTTTAATATGATACTTGTTTAATTCTTTTTAATATTTGTATATTTACTGTTTTTAGTTTTTAAATAATGTCCTTTTAATGTTGTAAGCTGCCCAAGGTCCTTTTAAGGAGAAAGGCAGGGTAAAAATATTTTAAATTAAAAAAAAAATAAAAATAAACAGGAGCCCCTTCTTTCTCTTTTTGAGTTCTATTGTATTGTGAGCTGTCCAGTCTTACTAATGCTGGATTGATAGCCTTTCCTGTTTTCTTCTTTTGGGGAGATGTTAATAGAGTTTTTGGAAAAGATTTGGAACAGATATATACCTCTTGCATAATAAAAGACAAGATCTCTTCTTTGTTAGAATGAAAAGCATGTTATCTGTAATTGGATCTTTCCCAAAACAGAGTCAGAACCACACTTGGAAAGGGAGGAACATGAAAAGAGTAGCTGTGTAACTGTGTTGTGCATAAAGAGAAGAGACCTGGAGAAGGCATGAGGAGGAGGGTGTGCATAGTGGTGACAATGATAGTCCTAGAGAGAGAAGTAGGTTGGTATGTAGAAACCAATTATATTTACATTTGCTCAGTGTCCACAGAAGAGTCAGTTGGCTAGCTTATATTGTACCCAATGTTCTCTCTCAGGTGCATGTGTGCAGAGCTCCATTGGCACAATACAGTGGCAGCCAGTGTTGATGCCGGTGTATTTCTGGGTTTTGGATGAAACCCTGCCCATCATGTGCAGACGGGTGAGGCTCCCTTGCAGTGGGGTGAAAATTAGACAAAACATTGATTGTATCCAAGGAATATTGCCTTTCATTTGTTTTGTATTTTTTTCTAGCAAGCATTTCAAGCAGATTATACTGTTTAATATTTTTTGATACAAATGCTTGCAAAACATTGTGTGATATCTTAGGAACTCCAGATGGATCAGCAGGCCAAAAAACATCTTCAGGAAGAATTTGATGCTTCATTAGAAGAAAAAGACCAGCTCATAAGTGTTCTGCAGACTCAGGTATTTGTTTCATTAAGAAAAGTGCTTTTCAAGAAAGAATGAGGGGAAAAAAGACCTAACAGTCGCCTTTGGGAAAGCAAGAGTTGTTTCTCTTTTCATATGTATGGTATAAACTATACAAAGAGATTGTGTATTACCAACTCTCAGTATTTTGTTATAAATTAATTGCCCAGCTATTTCGTTCACTAAGGGGTGGCAGCAGTTGTCGTAATTTGTCATAATGCTTAATATGTCAGCTTGTATACCAAAGGCCTTTAATATATACATGGTCTTGCTTAAGCATAGTGTGGTTTATATTCTATTTTACTCATTTGTTGCTTCAGTGAGAATAGATCTTTGTGCTTTGTATCAGTCTACTGTGAAATACCATCTGAAAACTGGGGAGGTTCTTAGCTAGCATACTGGATTAAGGTCAGAAGGATGCCCAAGTACACATTCTCCTACATGATGCCCTTCATCACAAGCATTGACGAGAGTATGTGACCCATGGTTTTCAATGAAATGCCCCTTGAAGTATATTTTCTTAAGGTTTCATCCCAGCTCATGGGCAGGCTGTATCCTTAAACTAGCACACTTCTGGCATCAAATTTTTAAGTAGTAAAAGTAATGTGATGTACAAGCAGCAGCAACAAGCCAGACTCTATGTACCCTCTGTATGCTTAGTAGTGAAGATCACTGGTGAGCTACACAATGCTTACGAGCCTCAGACCAGGCAATGAGCTATGTTTTTAATTTTAGTTTCTTTTACAACTATGAAAAGAAATACAGATTATACAGATTGTTCATAGTTAGAAATCAAGGTAGGTGAAAGACCGTTAAGAGCTGCTGAAGCAGACTGTAGGTCTGTCTGTTCCAATCTTCTTTCCTACAGCAACCAACACAAAGCCTATGAAAGGCTATAAGCAGGACACAGTAACAATAGCACCTTCTGTTTATATTCTTCAGTAGGTGGTACTGAGAGATGTATTGCCTCAGATGTTTGAATTAATGTAATTAATGAGAATCATGATTAATGAGCATCTGTGTCTACTATTTTCTTTCAGTTTTTGGGAGGTTGGCAAAGGGGGAAATGTTGCATTATTTAAATATTTATTTGTTTGTTTTATTTATAGTCCGTCTTTCTCTCGATAAGGGCACCCAAGGTGGCATTAATAGATATTGTTCTGTTTATGCAGGTGTCACTACTGAAACAACGATTACAGAATGGCCAAATAAGTATTGAATTACCTGATCCAAATGTACAAACGCAACCACAAGTTCAAAGCCCAACAAAAGATATAAATGCAGAGAATGTGTTACAGCCAGGGAGTCCTGGTAGGTTGATACCAAGTATTGTTTTAAAAGATAAATTATTAAGAAATGGGCTAATTCAGTTTCTACCTAAGATTTTTTTTTACATACACAGAGAGAGAGAGAGAGAGAATTTTTTTTACATACACACACACACACAGAGAGAGAGAGAGAGAGAGAAATATCTGTTTTTCTGGCTTGAACTTTCCTCTTGATAATATCACTGAGGGATATTTAATGGTCTAAATATTAAATGGTCATGGAGAAATCTGTTCTTGTAATTAACACATGTATGCAAGCTTGTAAGTTTCCTTTCAGGTGGCTGCATTTAGATTGCCAATTGTATGAGCCTGTAATTTCTTTTTTTGTAGGTGGTGATGTGGAATCTGCTAGAACACTAGAAACTCTTACTCAACGAGTAAAACGGCAAGAGAACTTACTCCATCGATGTAAAGAAACTATTCGTTCTCATAAAGAGCGCTCAGCACAGCTAGCTAATGAAAAAGAGGCACTACAAGAACAACTAGATGAGAGGCTTCAGGAATTAGAGAAAATGAAGGTATGTTAAATTGATAGTTATCAAAAGGTGCCAGCTGTTATATTTACAAACATGTAGATTTGATGTTTTTTTCTAGAAGTCTAAAAAAAGTGAGTTTTTAAGAGTCAGTTTTACCTCTAGACATCTAAGCATTTTACAGAAATTTATGTCCCACACAGAAACATCTAGTTTATTTATACTAACAATATTAACATAGATTTGAGTATGTATTTGCTTTTTATTGTAAGCATAGTGGTTGACATGCAAGTTCTGTTCTTCATCTTGAGATTAATTTCAAGAGGAATGGACTATAGTTTCCTCTAAAATTAGCATTCAGAATAGCCAAATGCATATCCTAGAACAGTGGTTTTTAATCTTTGGTCCTCCAGATGTTTTGGAGTTCAGCTCTCCAAATCTATGACAATTTATGATAATTCACTTTGACAACCAAAGATTGGGAATCATCCTAAGAGAGAAGTTTCCCCACAGTTTTATGTGCACCTCGGTCTCCTGTGGGGAGCTTGATCAGGTGGAGAGTGAAAAAGAGTTACTTCAGGAGAGTCACATTTTTCTAAGTTCATTTTGTCTTTTTTCTTAGGATCTTCATATGGCTGAAAAGACCAAACTGATTACTCAGCTACGTGATGCCAAGAACTTGATAGAACAGTTAGAACAAGATAAAGTAAGCAGTATGATACATTTTAAATTTCCAGTTTGCTTCTCACTCCCGTATGACACCTGTGTGGTTAGCTAAAGCAAGCTCATTTGGGGAAACCTGACCTAGGTACAACTTTAGAGGATCCATTTGCTTTTTCCTGCTGTTTAGTTGCTCCATAAAACACAAACATATTTCAGAGTGTCAGCAGTAACCTCCAGATCCTCTTTCCCCTGTCTTTGGTTGTGAATGGTGTATTCATCTAATTCTTGCATAGTATGTCCACTCCTTATTCCTATAAAACAAAGAGGTGTTGATCTTAGTTCAGAATAGTGACTGTATTTTGGTTTTGAGCTGAGCATTCTTACATTTATGTATTCATTCAGTGGGTTTCTGTTGCTTGTGATCACCTCTTTTATAGGGCATGGTAATAGCAGAAACAAAACGGCAAATGCATGAAACACTGGAAATGAAGGAAGAAGAAATTGTCCAGTTGCGTGCCCATATCAAGCAACTTGCTATGCAAAGTGAAGAATTAAAAGAACAGAAAGAAAAGTCTGAAAAAGCTGGTAAGAAAGTTTGATGATTCACTTGTTATTTGAATAAGGAACTCTTTGGCATCTTTTGTTTGCCATTTTGTCAGCAGCCATTATAACAATTCCATTAGCTTTATTTCCATAACATCATTGTGGTGCTCACTAAAAACCTGCAAACCTTCTCTCTTCTGCAGTTGTTCATGTAACAGTAAAAAGAACTGTAATAGAATGAGAGGCAAAAATGTACAGCTATCTACTTTACTAAAATTAACATTGTGATGATCAACATTTTCTTTTAATCATGTAATCAGTAGTGGCTAGAGGGCTGTGCAGAAGTAAACTAATGTGTTTTGATTAATGCACTGCAGATGAAAACATGATGTCTGAGTTTCTTACCTGCTTCAAAACTGAAAGTTCTCTGAACCTGTGACAATTTCTAAAATCAATAGGGATGTCTATCACATAAAAAGCTTAAGAAAAAAGTCATGTGTTGTAAGAAAAAGGCACTTCATGGTTGTAACCAGTGCAATCTGTATGGAAGATTACATCCAATAACACACGTGATAGAGAGGTCGACTGTTGGTATGGGATCTGTCCACTGACACTGTCCATTGGAAGTCAGCTTCAGAAAAATGCATTCTCACCTCCCAACACCAAAGCTGTTTTCTTTCTCCCCCTTCTCTTCACAGAATTAATTGAGGTGATATAATGGACTCAAGCTAATACAACCCAAGTTTTCTAACATGTCTGGTTTGCTAACAGTGGCTACAGTCTCCAGTTTACAAAAAACTGCAGGTTTTAATCGGAAAACAGATATTAACTGGTGGAGGAAATGTTTGAGGGGAAAGATTATGTATGTTTTCAGATAAGCAAACTGTGATGTGTAGGAGATGCTATTGTCCCTCCAATTGGTTTGGACTCATTGTAGGAGCCTACTCACTCTTCTGAAAGCCAGAGTTTGACTACTTCTGATATTCCAGTGAAAAAGAGGAAAATGCTATTGTGGAGACTCTGGAGGATAAACAAAATAGAATACCAAAATTAGCCTATTAAAGGAAATGTTGATGTGAAATGGTAGGCAATTCTTTCAAAAAGTGACCTCCCCTATTTCATTCTAATGATAAATTGCCCAGAATTCAGTTTGCATAGTTGAATGATGCAAACTGGATGATATCATTATCTGGTGCAAGTAATGCTTAAAATTAATTAATAAGCTCTTATCACACCCCTGTTGAGGTTCTAAGGCTCCCTAGGGTACCATTTTGCCCTGGGAAAGCCTATGGGAGCCTTGGAATGGGAAAGGAGCTTTAATAATGAAAAACCTCAGCCGAGTCACCACCAGTTGTCTAAATCTTGCCTTCAGCAGTCCAGCAGCAATTTTTGACAGTTAAGGGTTCTCCCACCTCCAAAAAGCTTCCCTAGGGCAAAATGGTATCATAGGGATCCTCAGAACCTGAAGGGACGAGATAGAAAGCTTTTAATTATGTAGTTTTAAGTAAATATTACTGGTGCCAGATTGTGACATCATCTGGTTTGTGCCACAAACAGGATTTTTTGTCATTGTATCTACTCTGCATTAGCTTGGATCCAGATTTTTTTTTCCATTACTGGGAGCAACTCATGCGTGGAGGTCTGCTCAGGTGATGCTACATTTGCTAATTCCCCTTTTCTTATGCAGCCTCTAAAAGTCTACAATGGAAGAATGAAAATCATTGCTTCTGTTTACTAGCCATTGGATCCAAAGTCTTTTGGGAACAGAAGGAGCCCTTCCTGTTGTGGAAGGCTAAGTTTCAAGCCAACTCTTAGGTTTATATTTATAAATTGTTGACTTACATTTTAGTGAGCTTGTATTTAGCATTGAGATATTTATATTTTATATAATGGACAAGTGCTTCTAACAAGTCTGCTAAAAATTATGAACATAAATTATGAACATATATAGAATATAACTGCAGCAGCTTATATATAAAATTACTACTACAACTCTTCATTTTGTAATATTAAAATCTCACTAAGCATCTTATTTTTGTGCATCCACACATGCCAATAAGTGAATCATGGTGCCTTTCCCAAGCCTTGTATGAACAGGATTGGGGTAAGGGATCTTTTACTTACTTCATTCAATTGCTGCTTGCAGCAAGCTTTAGAAAGTAAATTCTGTGCTTCTCAGGCAATATCAGAAATAAGTGCCTTCATCTCAGTTCAGTCTCTTTGAATATTTGACTCTTTGTTTTATAATTAAAATTGTGTACATTAATTTATCATCAGTAAATCTTTCACATTACTCCAATATTAAATATTTTTGTTACAAAACATTGTGAGGGCTGAGCAATGCTTTAAGTATAAAAACAGTGATTTTGAAATACTGTAGTTTTTTTAAATATGAGAAGTCTACATTTTCCCAAACCACATAAAAACTCTAAAGTTTACAGATGGTAAACTCTTTGCATTCAGATATCTATATAAATTAAGAGCAAGTTTAGGCTGCTTTAACATAGGACATTGTTATTTTGGCTTGGTGCTCTGCTTTGTCACAGTTTCACATTCACTTTTTTCATATATGTTGAAACAGACTAAATGAGTGTCTCTGAATCTGCATTATTTGGCTCCATGATGGTTTCCTCAGCTTTTACCACTAGATGATGCTATTGTTGAAGGGAACAATTAATGTGGCATGAGATACTAAAAAAGAAAGAGGTAAAGATGGCTTTTATTGTGCCAACTCTAGTTGTTGTTTTTTTAAAGAAATATTTTTCACAAGCTTGTGAACCACACATGGGTATTTCATCAGGTCAGAACAAAGATATGCATTTGGCTTATGGTTGGTGTTTCAAGTCTCTTTTTTATAGTGAAGTATGTTTAAAAAGGATTGCAAATTAGATACATCTCTCTTTATTACCAATCTGGTGCAGATAGAGAATAAGCTATCATGATCTTACACATACACTTAGAAAAACATGCAAACACCACATCCTGTGGCCCTTATTTGCAAAATACTGATATGTGGCCTATACAAATGGTGTATATGCCCTATGTATCTGACTTTCTCCTTGTCGTGTAAGTTCATATGGCAGAGTTCTGCAACTTCATAGTGCCTTAATGTCAGGAAGAATGAGAAATATGATACATTTTTTCTGTACTTGGATGAGCCTAGAGCAGTGGTGGTGAACCTTTTTGGGCTCACGTGCCCAAAATGGGGAAAAACCAAAACAAAAAACAGCAGTGGTGGAGGACCCGGATATAGTGGCAGAAGGGGAAATCTCGGTTGTTTCGGATCCTCCTGAGGTCTGGCTGCACAGGGGGCAGGGGGAGTAGCGATCTGGCGACCTATGGGTTGCGTGCCAGCAGAAAGGGCTCCGTGTGCCAGCTGTGGCACGCATGCCATAGGTTTGCCATCGCTGGCCTAGACCTATGTCATCAACAGGCAAAAGTCAGCTGATTTTCCCTAAACCAATTTTGTTTTGTTATCACATGGCGATAAAACAAGAGTTTTCATATATAAAACCACAGTATCATACTATATTTTCATTTAAGTCACCTATACGTGATGGAGAACCTGTGCGATCAACTTGTGTTTGAAAGCTTGATGACTTGCTATAAAAAAGAGTTGGATCAGTAAAAGATACTATCCTTATGTATTTGATTACATCATATACAGCACCATCTATGTGAAACTTCAGAATAAGATATGAACAATATATGTAAAATTTAAAAGTTTCAGTGAAATCCAGCTATACTGTCTTCCTGATCACACACTCTTAAATACGACAGTCCTAATTTTCCTGAGTAGCAGATAAAGTGGTAAGCTTTTGTTCTAACCTGTACCACTTCAGACTACAGATGGGGGCAAACAATGACTTTTTTTAAAACTAAAGCAATGCTGCATTCTGTTGGCGAGGTCTAGAGTGCCATTTGGAATCAGTGTATTCTGGAGCAGCTATGTGAGTCTCTGTCTCCTGTCTGAATTAGTGCACTGTTGAACAAGCTTTAATGCTTAATATGCTGCTGGCAAACATTTTACTTTAGGAAGGCATTTGCCTTAGTCCCTTACTTAAGACACATTCCTGTTTGTCCGAGGATGGTGAAGACTGGAGTACTATCAGGTCAGCATAACTGTACAGTACTTTTTTACAGATAGCCCCACTACAGTAGTTCTCTACTCTTCACTGCAGTGAAAACTGCAGAGTCCCCATTCTGCCTTGCACTGGAAACTGGACCTGTTTTAAAGCATCTGATAATTGGACACGTCTATGCTAGTGGGGGGAAGGGGGGAAAACACATGTTTCCAGTATTGTTTTTAATAAATTATTTTCTTGCTGGCACACATCCCTTGCATTAGAATTAGCTATCTTGGATAGAAGTGTTGTGTTTTGCTTATATGTTAGACTGCCTGAGATGCATAAAATTTGACTTTTTGAGACCAGAATGTGTTTCTGTGAAGTGCTGCTTCGTGTTTTTCATGCTGCTTTTCTGCAACTATTTTTCTTTCTGCATGCTTAGCTTTCTTCCTGGTGTTGTGAGCTTGTAAATATTGTAATGCAACTGCATGTAGTTGGGTTACTCCATTTGTGTAATCATAGTATATGTTGGAAATGTTTCTGATTTTTCCAGTTATGTAATTTTTTTGCCTATTTTATATCTCCAAATGCCTTAAGAAAAAAAGAAAGAAAAAGAACTGCAGAATTCTAAATTTAACTATTTGGATGCTAGTCTTTGACTTATGGACTCCAATCTATAGTAGTGGGAACTTTTCTCCTTGTTCAGGGCTTCAGGGCAAAAGTACTCATTCCACAGGGTTGCCACCATACAGCATGCTTATGCTGAGTTGTCCTTCTGTCCCCATAAAATTTTGCACTCTTAACAACATTCTGAAAACATGAGAACATTATGCTGCCTAGGAAAAGGCAAAATATAGCTGAGCAGTTTAGGTATCTGGCTGTGGAGCCAAAGGTTGGAAGTACAATTCCCCACTGTGCCTCCTTTACAGCGGCTGGATTTGATGATCCATAGGGTGATTGCCAGCTCTGCTGTTATAAGATGATGATGGTGATTATTATTATTATTGTTGTTGTTGTTATTATTGTTATTATTGTTGTTATTGTTATTGTTATTGTTATTGTTATTGTTATTATTATTATTATTATACTGTGTCATAATAGCAACTGAGTGTATCATTATGGTACAGTTAAAAGGGGACAGGTACTTGATTTTGTGTTGATGTTGGCAGGGCTATATTTTAAATACACCATGTTGGAACTTCTGGAAATATTTTTTTTTCTATAGCACTGCTTTCTGCTAGTTTATCAACGGGAATATTATCTCCTGTACGTACACCTGATTTCTGAGTGAACAGGTATTGAATTGCACTAGAAGGCACACATTTAGGACCATATCTCAGGTCTAAATTTTTTTAGTAGATCCCTCAAAAGGAGAGTCTACTGCAGATACAGAAAAGGTGACCATATGGGACCAAACAGGACATTAATTAATTAATTAATTAATTAATTAATTAATTGTGCTTTTATACCACGCAATCTGGCCTGGGGCCACACTGGGTGTGTACAACAGAGGACAAAACATATATTTTGTGACTGTCTGAAAGATCTCCATTTTAAAAATGCAGGGGAAAATTGTATGGGTCAAAAAAGCCCTATTTCTGCTTCTGGATGTGTCGTAAGCCCTCCCCTCCCATTCCCTTTCAGTATTTCCTGTTTTCATTTTTTTCAGGAGCCACAAATAGCCATTTGGAGGCTTGATGCAATCCACACTGGGGCTTAGGGCAAAAACATTCCCTCCATACCTATCAAAATTGCCCATTTCTCATCTACTGCATCATTTTTTAATTGAATTGCCTACATAGAAGATATTCATTGTAGAAGGATTTAATATTACTGTATATGTGTTAAAGACTGTTTAAACGTCCTCTCATGCAGTAATATCCTTTTCAAAAAGCACAGTTTTTTTCTGTGGAAGTGAAACAGAAGAGTCACTGCATGATGATTTACTCTGCCAATAATGGAAAGATATGTTTGGTCCTTGATAATTCCCCCCCCCCCGATATTTTTAATTTTAGTATCGATACATTATTTCAAGATTATGAATAGACATGGGGGTGTTCATATTCGTATACGAATACCCACATACAGGTGGAGATATCGAGGGTCTCATCCTTCCGCTGCTACCATGGGCTCTGCACTCCCTTCCTATCATTCTGGAGCTAGCCCTTCCTGGCAGGAGGTGGGACGATGAGCCTCTCTGCCAGGTTGAAGAGTGGCTTGCAGACCGGGCGCTCCAGAGTGATAAGAAGGGAGCATGATGCCCACAGCAGCAGCAGAAGGGGGAGTGGACAGTCCAGCCCCAGGGAGGCGGATCCTCGTTATCTCCACCTATGCGAGTCTGTTCGTATACAAATACGAATACCCCCATCTCTAATTAGGAAAAACAACAATGGAGTTGGAAGGGGCCCCCATAGGGCCATCAAGTCCAATCCCCTGCTCAGTTCAGGAATCCAAACTAAAATGTCTGACAGATGGTTGTCTAATTTTCTCTTGAATGCCTCCAGAATTAGAATGCTCATCACCTTCCACAGTATTTGGATTGATTATCATAATGCTATAACAGGATTGCTCCAACTACCGGACAGTTGCACTCATCTCACACGCCAGCAAGGTTATGCTCAAAATCATACAAGGTAGGCTTCAGCAGTATGTGGACCGAGAACTCCCAGAAGTACAAGCGGGATTCCGAAGGGGCAGAGGAACTCAAGACCAAATTGCCAACATGCGCTGGATTATGGAGAAAGCCAGAGAGTTCCAGAAAAACATCTACTTCTGCTTCAATGACTATGCAAAAGCCTTTGACTGTGTGGACCACAGCAAACTATGGCAAGTCCTACAAGAAATGGGTGTGCCTGACCACCTTATCCATCTCCTGAGAAACCTATATGTGGGACAGGAAGCAACAGTTAGAACTGGAAATGGAACAACGGATTGGTTCAAAATTGGGAAAGGAGTACGACAAGGCTGTATATTGTCACCCTGCTTATTTAACTTATATGCAGAATACATCATGCGGAAGGCTGGACTGGAGGAATCCCAAACTGGAATTAAGATTGCAGGAAGAAATATCAACAACCTCCGATATGCAGATGATACCACTCTGATGGCGGAAAGTGAGGAGGAACTAAAGAACCTTGTAATGAGGGTGAAAGATGAGAGTGCAAAAAACGGTCTGAAACTCAACATCAAAAAAACTAAGATCATGGCCACTGGTCCCATCACCTCCTGGGAAATAGCAGGGGAAGATATGGAGGCAGTGACAGATTTTACTTTCTTGGGCTCCATGATCATTGCAGATGGAGACAGCAGCCCCGAAATTAAAAGACGCCTGCTTCTTGGGAGGAAAGCAATGACAAACCTTGACAGCATCTTAAAAAGCAGAGACATCACCTTGCCAACAAAAGTCCGAATAGTCAAAGCTATGGTTTTTCCTGTAGTGTTGTATGGAAGTGAGAGCTGGACCATAAAGAAAGCTGACCGCCGAATAATTGATGCCTTTGAATTGTGGTGCTGGAGGAGACTCTTGAGAGTTCCCTGGACTGCAAAGAGAACAAACCTAGCAATTCTAAAGGAAATCAACCCTGAGTGCTCATTGGAAGGACAGATCCTGAAGCTGAGGCTCCAGTACTTTGGCCATCTCATGAGAAGAGAAGACTCCTTGGAAAAGACTTTGATGTTGGGAAAGTGTGAAGGCAAGAGGAGAAGGGGACGACCGAGGATGAGATGGTTGGACAGTGTCATCGAAGCAACCAACATGAATTTGACACAACTCTGGGAGGCGGTGGAAGATAGGAGGGCCTGGCGTGCTCTGGTCCATGGGGTCACGAAGAGTCGGACACGACTAAATGACTGAACAAACAAATATAACAGGAAATTATTCTTGATAATTCAGCTGAAACCTGGCGGGCATCTCAGGCCATTATTGCATGTCATGCATTCTGGAATGATTTAAAAGAGATCCTGCCCTTCTTCTGTATGACAGACTTTCAAGTATTTGAAGAATGCTATCAAATCTCTTTAGCCTTCTTTTCTTAAAGCTGAACATACCCAGTTCCTCCAGTTGTTCCTCGTATGGCTTGGTTATCAGTCTCCTGATCCATAGCAGCTTGTGATCCATAGCATCTCCAAGATTCTTTTCACATTGATGATTTACACTTGTAATTCATTGAAATAATTTATATTTCATTTATCTCTTTAAATTAGTTAACAGTTCTGTTTTAAAAATTCATTAAAATAGCATAAAAAAACCCAAAGGCTAACAAACTGACAGCTCACTGTCCTCAGGTTGCTACTGTAATTATGCACGTTCAGACCAAATACACATTGAAGCAGCATTGTTTTGATCTTTTTGTAAAAATAAAAATTACAGATATTAATTTAGAGTTCTAGTAAAAATTTAAAAAACATTATAGTCATTTGGCAGCGTTTACTTCCATTCAATTTCTTATGGAATGAAGCTGCTGTTATATAAGAATTCTGGCATTCCAGACATTCTTCACTTACTGACTCTTGAGAATTGCTATTGCTAACCAAGTACTGTATTAGATTGAATTTAATTGCTGGTCATTGTTCTTTCCAACACAATATTCATATTTAGTTTAGGTAGTTTAGCTGAGATTTTGAATGTTGACATTGAAGGAGAAGAGTAACTTAGTTCATTGATTTTTGAATTGTATTTTCAACATGGAAATAAATGCCAGTGTTTCCAGGTTGATGTCTTGATTTGCTTTTAGGTGGTTATTTTAGTGAGAACATGGCATACATATCAGAGAATTTGTTTCTGCCTTGAACTTTAGCCATATTTGATACATACATATGGCATTTTCTGTTTGCTTTGCTTTTCCACAGCATTTGAAGAGCTTGAGAAGGCTCTCAGCACAGCCCAGAAGACTGAAGAAGCACGCAAGAAACTGCAAGCAGAAATGGATGAAAAGATAATGGCTGTAGAAAAAGCCAGTGAGGAAGAGCGTGTAAACCTTCAGCAGGAATTAACAAGGGTGAAGCAAGAGGTGGTTAATATTATGAAGGTAAGCGCTCCATAATAATAACTTAATATGATGTTACAATATATCATGTTAATGCAAGCAAAACTCAGCTTTGATGTGTATGTTTATGTGCTTGAGTAGTGTCATGATGGAAAGAATTATGTTAATTCAGTTAGATGTCAGCCTTTATATTGCTTAACCAGCATCTTGGTTAATTACACAAGAATCTATCTGCTTGCTTTGTTTCAAAACTTTGTTTGAATATGAATTATTTAAATCTATGTAAATGAAGATTCTAAGTACACAAGACTATACCCTTTTGTGAGAAAATGTCTGGAAAAGCATGTCCAAGAACTAAAACCAACACAGAATGAAGTTTGCTTAATCCCTTGGTATAATCCAGCATACTTTGGAGTAAATCCTAGTGAATTAAATTTGATTTACGTATTTCTGAATATGCAAGATTGTGCTGTAAGGGCATATTAAGAATTTCATGGGAAGACTTTAACCATTCATAATGTATCTTGTATGTGTCAACTTGGAAGTAAGCTCTGAAGGTCAGCAAGAGTGATTCCTAAGTAACTGTAGAAGACTACACTCTTGATCATCTATCATGCAAGAAAGCAGTAAGTTTTTGTACAGTTAAAGAAGAAGCAGTGAAATTAGTTTGATGTAGACTCATTGGAAATAAATTATTGTCCTATTAAGCATTATTAAATCTGGATCTATCCTACTATGTTTGGGAACATTTTCTTTCTTTAACTTGAACTTCTGTTTTATCAATGAGACAATCATACCTGTTTCTTGGGGAGATTCTGATTTGCGTCTTTACATTTTTAGAAATCTTCAGAAGAACGAGTTATTGAGCTGGAAAACCTGCATAAAAGTGAACTGTCTAGGAAAGAACAAGTGTTTAGTGATAGGTTACAAGCTCAAGATCAGGCATTCCAGGAAGAAATGAAAGCAGCTCTTGTAAGTATGTTTAACAACTAAAGCAGATATATTTGGTGTGTATACGTTTGGTGCATGTGCACTTTCATGTTTCTGAAGGTGAACAAATCAGACCATGAAAGGAAGAATCTGGTGTACATGTTATTGTGACTTATATGCATACAGGACCCCTTCATGGATTGCTGCCTTGTCGTGGCAAAGGGGCTTGAATAATTCAGAGAAGCTCTGGGCTATGCCATGCAGGGACACCCAAGACGGAGAGGTCATAGTGGAGAGTAACAGAAAGACACGATCCACCTGGAGCAGGAAGAGGCAAGCCACTCCAGTATTTTTGCAAAGAAAACTCCATGAACAGAAACAAAAGACTGAGAGATGTGACGCTGGAAGATGAGCCCCTCAGGTTGGAAGGCATCCAACATGCTACTGAGGAAGAGTGGAGGACAAGTACAAGTAGCTCCAGAGCTAATGAAGTGGTTAGGCCAAAGCCAAAAGGACACTCAGCTGTGGACGCGCCTGGAAGTAAAATATAGTCCGATGCTGCAAAGGAAAATACTGCATAGAAACCTGGAATGTAAGATCTATGAACCTTAGTAAGCTGGATGTGGTCAAACAGGAGATGGCAAGAATAAACATTGACATCCTACGCATCAGTGAACTAAAATGGACAGGAATGGGCGACTTCAATTCAAACGATTATCATATCTACTATTGTGGGCAAGAATCCTGTAGAAGAAATGGAGTAGCCCTCATAGTCAACAAAAAAGTGGGAAAAGCTGTACTGGGGTACAATCTCAAAAAATGATAGAATGATTTCAATAAAAATCCAAGGCAGACCTTTCAACATCACAGTAAAATATGAATGTTAATCATGAGGGCTGGGGAAGGAATGGGAAACAGGCATTTGTTATACCACTGAGAATTCTGCCCACGGTAGGGTCCACTTGACATTATAAACCCTCATCTCCCACGGGCGGGGGAACCCTTCACTTGAAAACAAAACATGATGGTTGAAGCTGCATCCCACACACACATTACAGAAAATCAGACCATAGGTCAACACCCCCTCCTCTGTCAAAACATGGGCACATTGAGGCATGCTTCCAACTCAAGTAAGCATGCCATCAAAATCACACTAGCCTCATAGTCAACAAAAGAGTGGGAAAAGCTGTAATGGGATATAATCTTAAAAATGAGAGAATGATGTCAATACAAATCCAAGGCAGACCTTCCAACATCACAGTAATCCAAGTTTATGCACCAACCACTGATGCGGAAAAGGCTGGAATTGACCAATTCTATGAAGACTTACAAAACCTTCTAGAACTGACACCAAAGAAAGATGTTCTTCTCATTATAGGGGACTGGAATGCTAAAGCAGGGAGTCAAGAGATAAAAGGAACAACAGGTAAGTTTGGCCTTGGAATTCAAAACGAAGCAGGGCAAAGGCAGTAGAGTTTTGTCAAGAGAACAAACTGGTCAAAACTCTTTTCCAACAACACAAGAGACCACTCTACACATGGACATAATTAGATGGGCAATACCGAAACCAGATTGATTATATTCTCTGCAGCCAAAGATGGAGAAGCTCTATACAGTCAGCAAAAACCAGACCTGGAGCTGATTGTGGCTCTGATCATCAGCTTCTTATAGCACAGCTCAAGCTTGAACCGAAGAAAGTAGGAAAAACCACTGGACTAGTCAGGTATAATCTAAACCAAATCCCTTATGAATACATAGTGGAAGTGAAGAACCGATTTAAGGAACTAGATTTGGTGGACAGAGTGTCTGAAAACTATGGCTGGAGGCTCGTAACATTGTACAGGAGGCAGCAACAAAAACCATCCCAAAGAAAAGGAAATGCAAGAAAGCAGAGCGGCTGTCCAACAAGGCCTTACAAATAGCAGGGAAGAGCAGGGAAACAAAATGCAAGGGAGATAGGGAAAGTTACAGAAAATGGAATGCAGACTTCCAAAGAATAGCAAGGAGAGACAAGAGGGCCTTCTTCAATGAACATTGGAAAGAAAAAGAGGAAAATAATAGAAAGGGAAAAACCAGAGATCTGTTCAAGAAAATTAAAGGAACATTTTGTGCAAAGATTGATATGATAAAGAACAAAAATGTTAGGGACCTAACAGATGCAGAGGACATCAAGAAGAGTTGGCAAGAATACACAGAGGAATTATACAGAAAGATCTGGATGCCCCAGACCACTCAGATAGTGTGGTTGCTGATCTTGAGCCAGACATCCTGGAGAGTGAAGCCAAGTAGGCCTTAGTAAGCATGGCTAACAACAAGGGCAGTGGAGGTGATGGCATTCTGTTGAACTATTTAAAATCTTAAAATATGATGCTGTTAAGGTGCTATACTCAATATGCCAGCAAATTCAGAAAACTCAGCAGTGACCAGAGGATTGGAAAAAGATCAGTCTAAATCCCAATCCCAAAGAAGGGCAGTGCCAAAGAATGCTCCAACTAACGTACAATTGCACTCATTTCACACGCTAGCAAGTTTATGCTCAAAATCCTACAAGGTAGGCTTCAGCAGTATGTGGACCGAGAATTCCCAGAAGTACAAGCTGGATTCCGAAGGGGCAGAGGAAACAGAGACCAAATTGCTAACATGCGCTGGATTATGGAGAAAGCCACAGAGTTCCAGAAAAACATCTACTTTTGCTTTATTGACTATGCAAAAGCCTTTGACTGTGTGGATCACAACAAACTATGGCAAGTTCTTAAAGAAATGGGTGTGCCTGACCACCTTATCTACCACCTGAGAAATCTATATATGGAACACGAAGCAACAGTTAGAACTGGATATGGAACAACCGATTGGTTCAAAATTGGGAAAGGAGTACGATAAGGCTATATATTGTCTGCCTGCTTATTTGCAAAATACATCATGCGAAAGGGTGGACTGGAGGAATCCCAAACTGGAATTGCTGGAAGAAATATCAACAACCTCAGATATGCAGAAGATACCACTCTGTGCTTTTTAAAAACCCAGATATCATCAAATTAAAAAGCCCCAAACAATAAAAAAACAGTTTTAGCAAGATACATTGTGTCTCCTTGGGGAATAAATTATGCAAATAGGTTGCCACAACTGAGAAAGTAATTATGGAGGTTACAGCCACCCTAAGTGCAAGCATTGATAGATGCCAGTTTTATCATAAAACTTATAGGTACCAACAAATTCAGTGTCAGTGGTCATCCCTATTTCTTATGGCACTGAATTCCGTACAGTGGGGTCTTGACTTGAGAACTTCATCCGTATTGGAAGGTGGTTCTCAAGTCAAAAAGTTTGCAGGTCAAATCTGCATTTCCCGTAGGAATGCATTGAAAACCATTTGATCCGTATCTGCTCTTTTCCGTCCATAGAAACTAATGGGAAGCTGCTATTCCGCCTTCGAGCACTAGAGGGGGATATTTTGTTTCTTTTTTTCTTAGGTCAAGAAAGGTTCAGGGAAGCCAGGGAAAAAACAGTCCAGGCAGTACAGTACCAGGCAGTCTGAAGACTGTCTCCCAATCCACTCTCTAAATGCTGGGAGGAGTGAGGAAGCAGACAGGCACCCTTTTCACTGGCCAACAGTTAACTGAAAGTTCAAATTTTGCACTTTCCCTGCCTCCCACGTGGTTTTTTTTCCAGTTTGTAACTCAAATCTAAGTATGTAAGTCAAGTCAATATTTTCCTATGAGAGTGGTTCTTAAGTCAAAATGTTCTTAACTCGAGCCGTTCTTAAGTCAAGACCCCACTGTATTTTGACCATGCATTATTTGATGAGGCATTTTTAAAAGCTGCTCTGAATTTCACAACATTTGGTGGATGAGTTCAGATTCTAATATTATGGGAGACAGACAGAACTCTGTTTATTTTTCCTTCTTTCACATACACTTTTTAAAACCTCTGTCATGCCTTTGGTTAAGTTTTTTAAATTCTTCAGTACCTCGGTAATTGGAGTTGCATTTTTAATTCATTTTTTCTAGGACTATAATATCCTTTTTGAGGAGCACTGAACAGAACTGTGTAGAACAACTCAAATGTGATCACATCACAAATTTGTATAAGGACAGAATTCTATTGTCAGTTTTATTTTCAGTTCTTTGTATGCACAACATGAAAGATGTTTCTTCCATATAATTTTTTCACAATCATTTTTTGTTCTAAGTGTGCTGAATAGTTTGGTCTTATCAGTAAATGTGGATCCTTTGGAACATACTACAGGCCACAGTTCTCCATAAAGGTAGATGGGGGATCCTGCTCTTTAAATCTCTGAGAACTGATAATTTATTTCTAGTCTCTTCTTTCTTTTAACCAGTATTCTCTTTTTACTAAGATTGTTCAGGAGTCTTTGGTGAGGATTTATTTTTTCACTGAGCAATAATTCTTGACACAGGAAAAATGTCAGAGTGAACATCAACACATTATGCAAGAAAAGGAACAACAAGCCTCGTTAGCCTTAGAAGAACTGGAATTGCAGAAAAGTGCAGTTCAGTTGGAATGCGACAAAAAACTTGAAAATATGCGACAAGAAGTAGAGACTTTCAAAACTGTGAGTAAAAGATGTGGAAATTACTTGTTTGTTTTTTTACTTTATAAAAAATGTAAACTCATGTAACATTTCCATGCCTTTTCCCATTTTCCTTAATAGTCAAGGAAGCACAATATGGGAGGTGATGTGACTATCATCCTTTTATTAAGGTTCAGTATACATTGTTGAGGAAACAGTGGAAATAGTTTCTGTTTTTTCATGTAGTGAAGGAGGAAATTTTTACTACAGGTTGTCTTTGTCACTTGCTTTACCTGGCAAGAGGTTTAAACCAATTCAGGTTGATACTGGGCACCACCTGAGAGGGCAACCCTGAGTGACCAGTTTACTGCCTATCTTTACTTTTGTCAGATTGGTTTTTTTGTCTCTACAGAGCGTTGCTGCTTCTGTTGACATTTCTCATTATCATCTGTCAGCAGATTCACTGCTGCTGTGGTGACAATGGTGTCTGACTTCTGACCAGAGTAGCAGGAGTGACTCAGACTCCCCCTTCCCCGCTAACTCTCATGTTCAAGTGACTCCTGCTGGATACAGGCAGGCCCTGCTCAACACTTATTCACTAGCTCTCTCCCAGTACAGTATTGGTGATGTAAGGAGGCTGCAGCTGTTTCAGAGGTGAATACTTGGGGGATTGGAGCTCCAGATTCCCATCCATTGATTATAGACAGACATGTCCTCCACCCTGAGTATTACAGATGGTAGTTGTTCTGGGCATTGAGACCTACATTGATGCCAGCCTCAGGGGTTGGGGAGCAGACCTACACTTTCACTTAGCATTGGGCGTATGCTTACAAGAAAATTTAACACACCATATAAGCAAGTCAGAGGGTAATTCTACTCGAATTGCTGCTTTTCTCTCAATGTAATACATGAAAGAGCAGTGGTTTGCACATCAACAATATGACAACATATAATTGTGTGCCATCAAGTCAGTTCTGATTTACGGCAGCCCTTTTCAGGATTTTCTGGGTAGAAAGTATTCAGAAGTGGTTTACCATTCCCTCCTTCTGGTGGCATCCTGGGACTGTGCAGCTTGCTCATGCCCACAGATGTATATGTGGGCATGTGATTTCATTTCAGATGTAGAAGATTCTGAGATCTCATGTTTCTGTCTTTTAATTGCAAACTCGGAAACCTTGTTACTGTTTGGTGTATTGGAATTTCAGACTCCTCCTTAAACTGCTGTTGAAAGTCATATTCTATTTTAATAAGACCACTTTTATGGTTCTGGAAATTACCATTTAAAGTAATTTGTGTAAATTAATTAGTATCAATGGATGCATCATCATCATCATATGTTTAGTTCTTCCATTAAAGTCAGTGGCATTTGAAAGTGCTTAGTTTTGAATCTGCTGTGTCCTAATATTTTCTATTATATAGACTTCATAAGTAATTTCATGATTAGATATGGGTGCTTCATATTTCAAGGGATATGAATATGAAGTGCAGCACCCCAGCTGCAACAGCAGTCCATTCTTTTCCCCCAGAACCAGCCTGGTCCATTCACTGGACTCTGCGGGGCATGCACATCTGTCAGCAGCATTATCACACCAGTTGCAGAAGTAATCTGGCTGACACTTCCTCACCTCTTCCCACAGCCAACCGCTCAGCAACTGAGCACGGAGACTCTTCTTCCCGCCTCCTTGCTGGAGTGGTCAGCTGTAGGAAGAGGTGGGGTAGCGCCAACCAGACTACTTCTGTGATTGGCGCAGTGACGTCACTCATGGACACAGGCTGGTTTTTGGGGGAGGGAATGGACCACCATGATGCTTGTGGTGCTGCACTTTGTATCCGCTGCATACGAATACAAAGTGCCTATTTCTGTTTGTGATGTTTTGTTGCTCCATGTAGAATATAGAAATCATATTCAAAGAAATTATGTTTATGGCATTTCTATTTTTTTTAACAGAGAATACTTGAACTGGAAAGTTCCCTTGCCAAATGTTCACAAAACGACAACAGTCAGTTGGAGGATTTGATTACTCAGTTAGAATCAGAAAAAAATAAGTACAATAAAGAAATAAATACCATGCGTGAAAAACATAAAGAAGAGCTTGATATTGTGAAAGAGCAAGAACAACAACTTTGGACAGAAAAACTTAGCATATTAATACAGCAGCAGCAGTCAGAAATAGAGAAACTGAAAAAGCTTCATGAGGAAGAGGTAGTTGAAGCAGTGAAAGAGAAAGAGATTGTGTTCCGTGCACATATAGAAGAGATGAATGAAAAAACACTAGAAAAGCTTGATGTGAAACAAACAGAGCTAGAAGCACTCTCTTCTGAGTTATCAGACTCATTAAAAATTCGTCAAGAGCTTGAACAGTGCCTGTTGACATTAAGAGATAATGCACAGAAAGAAAAAAAAGAGTTTGAGGAAAAGCTGGAACAGCAGAAGAATCACCACAAAGAACAAATCGAAACAATCTTCAGAGACCAGGAAGCAGTAAGAAAAAAATTTGAAGATGAAATAAGTAAACTCAAACTACTCTTGGAAGATAAAGAAAAATGCCAAGAGGAGCTGGAAAAGCAATTGAAAACAGTAAAGGAATCTTTAATAAATGCTGAAAGTGAATATAAGAAAATGTCTGCAGAACTAGATGTTGCTTCTCAGTTTAGGGAGAACAGTGCCAAAGAACAGGAAAACACTTATGAACAGAAGTTAACTGATCTACAGCAAAAGCTGGACATTACAGTTACTGAAAAATTACAGATTGAAGAACAGTTTGTAAAAACTGAAACCGAACTGAGTAAAGTCAGAGCTGAATTAGATTCTCAGATATCACAGGTATGTGATTCAAAATGTAAATTAGAAGAGCAGAAGAGAGAAAATATGCAGAAAGTATCCTCTCTGACAGAACAGTATGAATCACAAGTAACAGCTTTTAGAGAAGAAGTGAGTCAGGCAAGGAGTAATTTTATTGATAAGCAAAATGAGCTTGAAGAAACAAGGAGGCTCTTGAATCAGCAGATTGCCAAGCTTGAACACCATTTGTCAGTCAAAGAGAACGAAATTAGTTCTTTAAAAGAAGAATATGAAATGAAATTGAAACGTCAAGAGACAGAAGCAGGAAAAGTAAAAGAAAAAGCAAGGGAGGTACAAGAAATGTTTAAGAAGAAGCTTTCAGAGCAGGAGACAAAACTGAAAAAGGAGATTGAAAACAAGCAGTTGGAGCTTAGTGAGAAAGAGAAGCAGTTCAATTCAAAAATGCTGGAAATGGCTCATGCTAGTTCAGCTGGAATTAGTGATGCTGTGTCAAAACTGGAGATAAATCAGAAAGAGCAACTAGAAAGCTTAGCAATAACTCACAAACAAGAACTAGAAGAAGTTATACAAACCTGGCAAAAGAAGCTGAATCAGCAGGCTGAAGAACTTAAGGAAAAGCATGAAATAGAATTGCAGGAAAAAGAACAGGAAATAGGCAACCTCAAGCAGAAACTCACTCTCTTCAGTGCTGAAAGAGAAGACAGTAATGCAGAGATAACTCGATTAAAGGATGAACATTTTGTGAAGGACACATCTATAAGTGAGTTGAAAGAGCAGCTACAACAAGCATTAGCTCAAGTGACACTTTTGACACAAAAAGAAACTGATTTGAAAACAGAGCTTAAAAAACTGGAAGCAGATGCTAGTTTTTCTTTAAAGGAGAAGATTGCTATCCAGGAACAGCTTAGTGAAATGCAGATGGAAGAGAAGAATAAAGTTAGTGAACTATTAGGAAAATTGAGAGTATCCGATGAGCAGCTTCAAGCTCTGAAATGTTCACATTCTAAAGAGTGTGAGGATTATAAGAAAACGCTTGAGGACCAAAATATAAAGCTTCAGCAGAAACAAGCTGAATTTGAGAAGCTTGCAAAAGATACAGCAACACAGCTGGAGGACTACCAGCAGAAAGCAGAAGCCCTACTTCTAACAAAAACAAGTGAACTAATAGAAAAATGCAGTGAAAAAATGTCACTAATAACAACTAGGGTTGTGCGTTGTCAGCAGTGGGCAATGAAAATTAAAGAAGCAATATTAATGAAAATCCATCAAATTCAGGGCCTAGAAATTCAACTTAAAGAAATAAAAGAGAGCCATTATACTTCAACCAGCTCTTTACAAGAGTCCAAACAACACTTGGAGGAAAAGGAAAAGCTAGTGATGTCTATGAAAACAGATATGGAAAAGCTCGTTACAGAAAAGGAACAGCTGCAGAAAGAAGGAGAACACCAACAACATGTGGCAACAGAGAAAGAAACTTCCATCACAGAGCTGAAGAAACAATTATCTGATCATATTAATGTAATCACTTCTCTGCAGGAGGAACTGAATGAGAAAAAGTCAGAGATCACAGATCTTAACAGACTTGTCAGTGAATTAAATGGCAGGCTTGAAAACAGTCTATTAGAAAAAGAAGCTGCAACAACATTATTAAACAACCAACACAAAGAGAATCAAGTGCAGTTATTGAATGAGGTACAGGAATTGTCCTCCAGAGTTGAAACATTGAGCCAAGAAAAAACAGCTGCTCTTGAACAGGTAGATCACTGGATGAATAAAATGTCTGAGTGGAAGAAAAAAGCCCAGATAAGATTTACACAGAACCATAATACTATTAAAGAACTGCAAAATAAAGTTGAACTGAATCATAGTCAAGCTTGTGAAAAAGAAGAGGAATTGAATAGAATGAAGGAGGAATGTGATGAACAAAGCAAGCATTTAGAACATTTGAAAGGCTTAATAGAACAAAAGCAAATCAAAAGAGAAAAACAAGAATCTGACTTGGTTGCTGAATTAAAAATCAGCGCAGCAAGAATTGCTGAACTAGAAGAACACATTGCTCGGAAAACAGCAGAAAATGATTTTTTAATGGATGAACTCAAAAAGTACAATGAAAAAAAAGAAGTGGCAGAAAAACTTAAAGAGGCTCAGATAGAAATTACGGAAAAAGATAACAGGCTTAAGGAGATGGAACAAAAATTACAGATTTTTGAAAAGAAAATGCAAACTATGGAAGTTGATTACAAGGAAAAATTAAAAGAATTTGAAGAAACAAAAACTATTCTTATGAAAAGCAAAGATGGAGAATTGAAGGCATTAGAAGAGAGACTTGTTTCAGAAACCACTGAAAAAATAGCAGACCTGAAAAAGAAGGCTGAACAAAAACTTGCTTCTGTTAGAAAGCAGTTGACTTCTCAAATGGAGGAAAAGGAACAGCAGTGTAGACAAGACATGGAAAAGCATTTAGAACAAAAATTGCAAGAAAAAGAAAATAAAATAATGTCTTTAGAAGAAAAAAATAAATTAATATATTTGGATTTAGAAAAAGAGAAGCAGAAATTGGAAGCCATAAGCATTTCCACAGAGCAGGACAAATGCCATGCACTGGAAAACATGCAACAAATCTATGAATTAAAAATAAATGCTTTACAAAAGGATTTAGTGGAAAGGGAGACACTGCTAAAGAAATATGACGAGGAACAAAAAATGAGGGATATTTCAGAACTAGAAGTGCATAATCAGCAAGAAGAACTCCTTAAGAGAAAACAAGAAGACAGGATTACAATTGAAAGGCTTCAGCAAGAACTTGAGGAGCAAATAAAGAAAGAGGCTTCTTTGCTTCAACAACACACAAAATATGATAATGACTTAGCAAACATCAGAGGAGAATTGAAAACCAAAAAACAAGAAGAGCAAGACATGAAGAAAATTATTAAAGATTTGAAAGAAAAGTTGCAAGAAAAGGAGAAAGAAGGAGAATCTTTGCAACAAAAGATAAACAGCATTGATGAGGATTTAATAAAAGAGAAGGAAGTGCACAGAGTTGAAATAGGAGAGATTATTTCAAAATACGATGAGAAATTGCAAGGACTCCAGCAGCAGCTAGATGAAAGAAGTGGCCTTGTAAAAACTTTGGAAGAAAGCATAGAAGAAAAGACTACATTAGTTCTTGAGCTTCAGAAACAACTTGATGATCTGAAGACTCAACAGAATGATACACAGACTAAACTGGATGAGACTGAGCGGGAAAAGCAGAAATACCAAAAAGATCTGAGTAAGCTGCAGAAAGATTTGCGGGCTTTGAGGAAGGAGCACCAGCAGGAATTAGAGATAATGAAGAAGGAATCTTTGGAAGAAATGGAACAAAAATTAAAGTAAGTTTTTCACTGAATTCCTTAAAAATTCACATTAGATAAATAGCTAGTGAAATTGTGTGACTGTATTCAGTTCTGCAATAAGCAGTATGAACTCTATTATTTAAAATTAGCATCACTCAAAACATTTTAAAAGTCATAGGAAATATTATGTAAGACTGGTATCAGCCTAGTTTGGATGGTCAACATTAGAAATGGGCATGAGCCTTGATTCAGAGGTTCATGCTGATTTTACAGGCAACGCCCTTCCCCTGCCTCCTCAGCCAATGCCCCATTGACCAGATGGAGCGAGCTTCTTTCCTCCCACTTCTCTTCAACTGTTCATCCAGTCCGTGGCAGGAGCACAGACTTGCCTGTCCTGCCTCCTTGTCTGAGTGGGTGCTCAACCAAGGAAGTGGAGCAGGAAAGTTCCTCCTCCTGCCAGGGAGTGGCTGAACAGCTAAAGAGGAGAGGAGTGTGTGCTAATTGGTGAGTGGGAGTCTAGCCAAGGAGGTGGAGGAAAGCAATGTGCATGTATGAACTGGCACAAACCTCCAAACTGAGATTTGTGCCCATCTTTAGGCAAGGAGAACTGTGAGCTTTTTGTCTGCTTATTTGTCTTCCCTTTTTCCATTTTGGAGCAAGCAACTGAACTTCTAAGTAATCAAGGTTTACTATAACTGAGGGAAACTACAATATTAGCCCATGGTTTGAAATTGTTTAATCTCCTAATTTATTCTGAAGCTCATAACTTTACTGCGTTGGATAAAAGCTGAATAGTTCACTTATGAACCATCTGCATATACAATGGTGCCTCGACTTACGAATGTTCCTACATAATGGTAATGACCATTTAAAGCTATGACCAGCCGCAAAATTTTGCTTCGACTTGCATCCGGAGCTTCCAGTTACGATCCAAAAAAGGCAGGGAGAAAGTGTGGGAAATTCAAATTCCTAACCGTTGGTAGGCAAAGAGTCTGCTTCTTTGTAGCTCTTTTGCCCCAACGGTTAGAGTAAGTTCTGGGTGGGTATTGCAGGGTGGGTTTGAGCTGCGGGGGTTATGTTTCTGTGCTGTGTTATTTTGTTTTATGGTGATTTTTTGGCAGCCCCAGCGTGGGGCTTGCTCCATTGTTTATTTTTGGTTTGGTTTGGTTTGGTTTTTAAGCCCCAGCGCCTTCGGGGCTTCCTGGGTGGTTCGTTTTTGAGTTTTTAAAAAAGCCCCAATGTCTTCAGGGCTTGCTCCGTTTATTTTTAGGGTTGTTGTTTTTTAAGCACCAGCACATTCTTATGGGGCTTGCAGTATTTTATTTTTATTTTATTGGGGGGTGTTATTTTTTTTCTTCTGGAACGGATTAATCGCGTTCCAGTGCATTTCGGAACGGATTGTGGTCGTATATGAGATTGAAGTACAGTGGTGCCCCGCATAGCGACGATAATCCGTTCCGGAAAAATCGTCCCTATCCGGATTCGTCGCTATGTGAAAAGAAAAAGCCCATAGGAATGCATTAAACCCCGTTTAATGCATTCCTATGGGCTTAAAACTCACTGTTATGCGAAAATCCTCCATACGGCCACCATTTTCGTTGCCCGGTATGCGAGGAATGGGCGCGAAAACACTGGGCAGCCATTTTTTCCCGGTGGCCATTTTGGAACCGCCAATCAGCTGTTTTTAAAACATCGCTATGTGAAAATCGGTAAGTGAAACAGCTTACCGATCATCACAAAGCGATTTTTTGCCATTAAAAAGATTGCAATGCGATCGCTTTTGCGATTGCAAAAAACAAATTGCTATGCGGATTCTTCGTTAAACGAGGCGCTCGTTAAGTGAGGCACCACTGTATTATCGAAATGTAACAACTGAATAGTTAGATCTAAAGTAGAAGTCTAAGATCTGCAGTTAGGGATATACTGTATGTGAGTCTTGGACATGTGTTGTGTTTAGTTTAGAATATGTGTTGTATATGTGGTTGTTGTATTTATTTATACAGAAGTGTTATCATTATTTCTATGTTGTTCATTAGGATTTGCTTTCAGTTATTATAGAATTGTAGTATTTTCTGTGTGTTCATGAAAAAAAGGACACATTGAGATGTTAGTACAGAAGATTCCTAAATCTTTCTGTTTCTCCTTTGTGGTCTCTGTGAATGCATATTAATGGGTTAATCTGTGCCTGAGCAGAGCAGTTTTGGAAACTTCCACAGCTTTAAGCACAGTGCCGGGACCCCCCCCCCTACACCGGCTATATAACTCTGCCCCCAGCACCCAGTGCCTCAGTTCTTTTTTTGACCGCCTTTGTAGCAGCAGCTTCATTCGGAACTTCGCAAGTAAAAACCAATTCTATTTCTTATCTTTCCTTTCTTTGACCTCCCTTGTTCTTTCTTCAGTAGCAAGTTGTTTCTTCTGCCTGGGGGAAGAGCACCAGCCTGTGTTAGGTATTATCTGTAAAAGCTTTACAGAGCCTTTACAAAGCCAGCTTTGGAGCCCTCAGGGTTTTTCTCTTAAAGAAATAAGGTCTCTCTTACCTTCTTAACAAGGCTACCCCCAGGCTCAAGAGCAACAGCTATCCACTTCTTTGCAATCTTCCTCTTTATGTCGAAAAAGAAGAGGACAGCATCTGAGCTAAGTCTGCAGAGAACTGGGTGCCGTAGTTGGGAATATCCCGGCAACATACGGTAGCCCTAGCTTTGCCCTTGGAAGAAGAAAGGGCCACCTGCAGCTCCTACCACCATCCCCGCTTGTCGGTGATTCTCTTGACTGGGGTAAAAACCTCTTTGGAGGTTGGCACGGAACAGCCCTCCTTCATGGGCTGATTCACAGAGCTGCTAATTCTGGAGAGCTGGGTGCCGAGGCCGAAGAGGTCCCGGCAACATACAGTAAGCCTTGGCTTTGCCTTTGGGGAAAGAAAAGGCCCCCTGCAGCTCCCACTGCTGGGGGGGGCTTGTCTACACCACCATGTTGTCCATGGCCGCTGGTCCACGATAGAAGCCGGCCTGCGTAACAATGTGCTGGAGCTCCTGGCTATTACCAAGGCCTTTTGGGCCTCCAAGCCCCTACTCTATGGGTGGGTGGTCCAGGTAGCATCAGACAGTACCACTACAGTTTATTATATAAACAAGCAGGGCTGCGCTCACTTGTTACGTCTTCTCTTTCACACCATCGACCTTTCAGAATGGTGTTATGCTCGCCACATTTATCCGTACATTTGGTAGGCAAGAACAATTCCGTGGCAGTCCATCTCAGCAGACTACAATCCTGCTCTCACGAGTGGGCTCTCAGCAATGCCATCTTTCGCTACCTCTGTCGTTGATGGGGGACTCTAGACATAGACATTTTTGCATCTCGGATGAACAAGTGTGCCATGTTCTGCTGAGCCGGCATTGGCCGCAACTCCCTAGGGGACGCTTTCCTGATGAATTGGTCACAGGGCCTCCTCTACATGTTTCCATCTTTCACCCTTCTTCAAAGGACTGTCGTTCGAGTCCAGCATGAGTGTGTAAATGTCATACTTATACCCCCTTGGTCGCCTCACCAGCCATGGTTCTCGATCCTGCTCCCAGGAGCTGCAGAATACATCACGTTGCAGCTGGCCTACTGTCTCGAGACAAGGATCGGATATTTCATCTGGACCTCGAGTCCCTCCACCTGATGGTTTGGAGACTTCCCCGACTGTAACAGACATGCGCAATCATGCTCACAAACCTTCTACCACCTTGACCTACTCCTATAATGGGTAGGCATTCTGTCACTTTGCATCAAGACAACATTTGCCTACTAGGCCAACGTCTCTGGCCCCACTCATTCAGTTTCTTCTTCACCTGTTCCACCTGGGACTGGCCCGCTCTACCTGCAAGCTATTTCTCTGAGGCCTGGAGAATATGTGCCCTGCCTATAGACCACTAACATCTCGGCAGCTTATGAGGCCTCCCTTCAAGCCCTTGGCATCAGCATCATTCTGCTTGCTACCCCTCAAGACTGCCTTTCTCCTGGTGATAACCTTAGCTCGCAGGGCGGGAGGACTGGCTACACTAAGAGAAGATCCTCCTTTCTGCAAAGTAACCTTATGGCCAGACCTTACCTTCTTGCCTAAGGTATTTTCTGCCTTCCATTTGAACCACCCAATTGTCCTTCCTGTTTTCTTTCCCACACCATCTTCACCGCTTGAGACAGCTCTGCACACTCTAGACTTGAAGCATGCTCTGTCATATTATGTGCATCGCACGACCACTTTTTGTGCCTCACAACATCTCTTTGTCAGCTCTGCTGGCTCCTTCGGTGCACTGGCTTCCTCTCAAACCATCTCTAGATGAATAGTCATGCACTGGCTTTCTCTCAAACCATCTCTAGATGAATAGTCAAGACCATCTGTCTTGCCTATGATTTGGCAGAGACTCCTCTTCCAAAATCAGTGAGAGCTCACTCTCCATGGCCTTTCTCCATGGAGTGGACATTGTGGATGTCTGCCGCGCTGCCACATGCACCACTCAGTCTACCTTTATCTCGCACTACAGCCTGGATGTCTGTCCGAAGGCTCAGGCTGTGGTAGGTCGAGCTGTCCTGGCTTCTGCACTTTCATGATGTCCCTCCTCCTGGTTACTCAGCTTGCCAGTCACCCATTAGTGTGCATTCACAGAGACCACGAAGGAGAAAGAGAAGTTACTTACCTGTAACTCTGGTTCTTCGAGTGGTCCTCTGTGAATTCACACGTCCCGCCCTCCTTCCCGCTGTCCTTCACGTATGCCATTGCATGCTGGACAGTGGTGGTTAGTTCCTTGGAACTGAGGCACTGGGTGCCGGGGGCGGAGTTATATAGCTGATGTAGGGGAGGTCACGGCACCAACTGCTTAAAACTGTGGAAGTTTCTGAGGCTGCTCTGCTCAGGCGCAGATTAACCCATTAGTGTGAATTCACAGAGGACCGCTTGAAGAACCAGAGTTACAGGGAAGTAACTTCTCTTTATCCAGATGCCTTAAAAGTGTATTATCCCAATACTTTCTTTTTATAAGTATGTTTAAATTATTTAA